GATCACAGATCCAAAGAGGTCACAATTAACACAACAGGCACTTGAGTCTCTTGAGTTGATAGTTATAATTGTTGATAGCACTGAAACAAATTATGAGTATATGAGAGTTGTAGTACAAACAGTATGTTTTTATTTACCTATAAAAATATGAAGGCAAGGGGATATTGCATGACACATGGGTGTCAGGCTACAGAAGCATGAGGAAGGGAAAGGCAGAATCAGAAAATAAGGTTCATTGCCAGGTAGTTTTTTACTTATAAGATATTTTGCCTGGTGTTTGATGCAGTATCCAATAAACATATTAACAGGAAATAATAAAAAGGTAAAGTATTGCAACAGTCAAACAGATAAATATACATAGATACACAAAAAAATAAAACTATATACAAAAGTATTGACAAAACTCTTGCTGAGTAGGATGTGCAAAATATCACAGTATAGACAATATCTGTTCTGTGCAGGGATAATACTCCAAGGTGTTACTGTAATGTGGTTGTTAATTGATGAGGCCAGACCCAGAAGAAAAGGCATATGCTGGTCCATCACTGGGGATGACTGGACTGGAATTTTGATCCTGATGCAGACAAACATGTGATAGGAACAATTAGTTTAGATCATACAAGTTCTTTATATTCAAACATGTTAGGTCTGTTGTGTGTATATAATAAATAGTAAGGATAGATATGAATATGCTAAAATAAATACAGTATTAGGCAGTGGATCCTGAATCAAACAGTCTCTTTGTCTTGTAAGTTACTGACGCATCTGTGATATATGGGTATGACTCCTACCACTAGGTGGAGTATGGTAAGAGTGTGGTGTTGTGATCAAACTGTTGGAAGCTGGAGAGGAAGAAGCGGGAAATAAAAGACAGCCGTTCTGCAATACAGGTCTCCGTGTGTGTGTGTTTACAACATTATAAATTATTACAGCATCTAGCTGGACAACAGCTGCAGGAACAGGCTAAATTCCACTGCATCGCTAAAACCTCTGTCGACATCATCAATCATACATATATGCCACTTGAAGTGTTCGTCAGTACGGTTTGTCATTTGCATAATGATACTTTTCACTACAGACCAAGATTAGATGTTACTCACCAGTCTAAAAAAAAGTTGCGAGCCCGGCATTAAGCCGCGTCTCTTAATTTGCTCGGAGCTGTCTCCCACGTTGGAAAAACACACCAGGATTTACTCGTGTTCTGCTTATATGCCGTTGAACTTGGTTTCTTGTCGGAGCGATCCTTAGGGATGGAGATAAAGACGGGAGCTGTAGCGTAACTTCAAGCTCAGGAGGAAGCTCTTTTTCTCCGTGGGACTGAGGGCAGACTAGACGCTGCACTGACTCAGACAGCATCTAGTGTGTCTAGGTGGTATTACAACACCGCCTGGGTCATGGATAGTTGGTTAGCATGCTCATTTCAGGAGATATCTCTGAAATACAATAGATGGAGGTCTTGGTCATGACATTATCACTGTGGCTCCTTCACATACTATTACGATAGTGTTAGTTCATTTTTTAAAACATTTTAAACTAAAATTCTGGCCAGATCTGGCCAGATCTTACACATTGCACCTTTAATAATTCATTTATTATGACTGAAGTGAATCTAAATTACTATTAACATTAACATTAAACTATACACTAAATAAACGGGACATTTCATTTAATTATAGTCTTTAATATATCTATCTACACAATATAAGGCTATTGTGTTCGGTTATATCAAAACCCTTTCAGGACACACCCAAGAAAATCAAAGGCCAGTTACTTTCCTGTACAGATTTATGCACAAGATTGTCCATGATCTGGGTCTTGCACATGAAGTTGATGCACCCACTCTGTGATGACCCATACCCGATCTGATGCTGATTTTCAAAGTAGCTCCACACCACTATTTCTGAATCTTCTGTGTTAATAGACAGTGCATGTAACATTAAATAACTAATATAAAACTGAACGTTCTAACTGAACTTTGATGCAATTCTGTTTCCTCTACGGCACAATTTCACCTTGTGGATCTGACCTGCTTCAACCAATGAGGTATTTGATTGAAACACAGAGTCAGGAAGTGCATCTGAAGGTGATAAGGGTTTTGTGAACATTCTAATCAGACAGGAAATAACAGCTCAAACCAGGAGATAATGTCAGTTTAGAGGTCACAGGCAGTGACCATGAAACTGATCTATCCTCCTCTTCTGTCCTGATGAAAGCCACTGATAGTAGCTGTGAAAAACAGAGACTCAAAACCAAGTTTCAAACCCTGAAATACACTGCTGCACACTCAGAAATAGCACTTAATTCAGTGACTTTTATTTCCAAAAGGCAATCACTACATTTAATGTAATGGTTGCACAAGAGATACTGTGAGCAACGTCCAAGTACAGAGCATGAGCTGCTTGTGTCATAACATAGGCAGGTGAAAACAAAATGCCATGGTAAGCATCATCCTGTGGAGCACGTGGTGGTATACAATCAACACCATATATATCATAATATAGTTTTGCAGTGTAGCATGCCTTTTTTGTTCCGTGTCTTGGTTTTCTTTTTAAGCTTTGACATTTTTGTATTTCTTAGAAGCATTTTTGAAAGACATATAGTCCTTGCTTTTGCTGCATTCACACGCGCCTAGAGCGTCACTTAGTGATGTGAACAGTAAGAACAGGCAGATGCGCATACACAGATAGTGAGTACATTAACATGAGGTGGGGGAGTGTATGTGAAAAAGAGAACATGACCTGTCACTGTGATACAGTCAGTGACACAGGTTACATGTCATGTCCCTCAATGGTACATGGTGAGTATGAAAATATAGTGGACATAGAATCTTGTTCAGCAGCCACCACCATGGCTGAAATGCCTTCAGATGCAGTACCATTACCGGCCACTAGATGCTGGCTGTGAAAAACCTCTGACTGCATAGAATTCCATTTCAAGAGTCACAACCTTTCTGCAGGAATACAGTTTCTTTCACACGATGTGTGGCTCTCAAGAGCTAATGTCCCTTCTTCTGTGATCATCAGGGTGAGAACCCACCAAAGAGGTATTAAGGCTTCTAGAGAAGTATTGTTTTAGGGCATGTCTGCTTGATTGACAGATGTCTCAGCATATCAAACATGTCAGTTGTGGTGGTTGCCGCTTGCTTGTCCTAATTTAGCTCCATCCAGGGTGTAGATGAGGGGTTAACCCAAATCCATGCATCAGACAGTCCCTTCAGGAACCCCCTTACTTTCATGTGTCTGACAGTCTGTGGATATGTTTGAGTCAAGATGAAAAGTAGACAGTGCACCCTCACTGTAATAGCAGGACGCTTTACAATCTCAGACCATCTCTTTGAGCTCATATAGTGTGGAGCAGTCCCTCCTCTTACTTTATGGCTTATCTTCCATTCTGTTGTCATTCATTTTCAGGGAACATAGGTGCAGTCATTGTCCCCCCATCCTGTCAAAGTGTGAATGCAGCACTTGTCAAGCAATGTCAACAACAAACATTTAGGACAATGGGCCCTGAGATAGTGTCGATGAGGTCATGATCTAGGTAGCATTTTTGGACATTGTACTAAGACAACAGCTGAGACTGGGGACCATGCACAGACAACATGTGGCATGTTCACACTCATTTTCATTCACATTTCAATGCACATTTTAAGAAGTGACTTTCAACAGGCAACATGACAAACAGAATGACAACAAACAGTGAAGGTGTTACATTTAAATCAAGCTTCTCTCGTGTACTACTCTACTCTTTAACAGCAGCTTGTGTTAGGTGACTTGTCTGTGTATAACTTACTGTACGTTCTGACTTGAGCCACATATCACAGCGCAGAGTAGGAGGTCCATGTGCACATGTCAGGCCTCATTTAAAATATTTTCTATGATCTCATGGCATCCATCTGAAAGTAGCATAGTTTAGGCCATCGTTTCTATCAGGGACTATAATGTACTACTCACCAAATGACCTGCCGAAATCTGCAACCACACCGACATCACAAAGTCTGACAAGGCACTAGGGCAAAGTCCTCTGTCAGACATTAGAACAGAGGTATTCTTAAATAAATAACCTGATGACATCAGGAAGGGACCAATCACTTTTAAGTTAGGTTAAACCTGACAGTACTAACCCATCAGTATGTCTCTGTATTTTCAGTATCACCTCATCAACAAGTGGTGTGCAGGTCCAGAGAAGATAACCAGAAGCTACATGCTGGATGTAGAGTAAAACACAAATACAAACTTGACACAAAGCAATAGCACCAAAATCAAAGTGTGGGTCAATGTACACACAAGTTTTTAAAAGTGCCGTCCACAAGAGGGTCTGCATGTTGACCAACAAAACAATGATAACATGTTGGTTAACATTGACACACCTTTGTGACAAAATCAGTTTCAAAATGCAAATGAGTGTGTGAGACCCAAAAGAAACGCCTGTCAAGGTGTGTTAACACAGACAGCATCATGATTTGTCTCTATTGTTCCCACCACTGGGCCTGCCTACCTCCCAGCCCCAGTATTTAACCTCTGTGGGGCCATTATCAGGACCATTGAAGTTCACTTGGTTTGTTCCTGTAGTTGGAGTTGTTAAAGTCACATGAGGCCAAGCCACCTCTGAATAGGGTCATAAATGACCTCCTCCACTCCTCTTTGGTTTGAACAAGGTCTACGACACCACTTATCCCTCACTTACAATGCTGTCCTTTAACAACCATTCACACCTGGCCTCAGGTGACTTCAACAACTCCAATGACTGTCGTTACAGCAGCCAGGAGCACGAACGAACCAGGTGACATCGATGGTCCTGATAACAACCACAAAGTGGTTAAATATATGGGACTCCTCACCTGTCTGTAATCATTTACTGTAATATACATGTGAATCTGTGAAGTACTGTGCACCACATACAGATGATACAGAACTGACTCAAAACTTACAAGACTGATGCAGGTGTGTTGATTTCTGCTGGTTGCTAATGTAAGCGATTACTTTAGCAGAGTATAGTGTTAGCATAACTGGGAGAAATAATGTCCACAGCTGCAGAATAAGACGTTATTATCCTGTAAATGCCTATAAGCAGGCAACTTTTTAAATATGACCATCATTTAGCAGAGCACACTTATAGAAAACAGGTGTTGCATTTCTAGTTTAGAGTGTGTGTCCATCAGATTCATAGGGCACAGTGAATACTGTCAACAACACAGGATATAGCACAAAGGGACAGATATTGCCCTTCTGTAAGCACACACTGGATTAAGGGAGACCTAAGGCACTTATGGTGGTATTTAAAACCTCTTTGTAGGAATACACTGTCTAAGGGCCCATCTGAATATGCAGCTCTTTTGTTTCAAGTGTTTTCTCACTCTCATTTTCTTTGGTCTGCTCTGGAATAAACCCATTCTGTGGCTTGCAAGCTTCCAAAAACAGCGGGAAATCGGACAAGCTAGTGTTGCACTCCTTGTCTTCATTCTCATCCTCTCTTTTCCCTTCATCTGCAGAGTGTGTGCTGCAGTCGAAGGTGGCTGTACTGTAGCCATATGCCTCGCTATGAGGCCGGCGAGTCTCGTCTGGGATGTTCTTCTTCAGGTCCCGATGCCTGTTGCGCTTGGCCATCTTGGTGACGGAGCCGAGGCGGTTGAAAATGTTGTCCTCAGAAGTGGTTTGGTGGTTGGAGTGCCGCTCGCACTGCTCAGCCCCCCGCAGCCGGAGGTTGTTCAGTTTGGTGTCGATGCTCTCCTGGGAAGAGGTCTTGTAGCTGTTGGTGTCCAGGCTGTTGAAGATGGCACGGCGCTCTGGGGAAAGCATGTCCAGTGACACGGCACGCTGGTCCAGACCCAACTGCCGCCTCTCCATGCTCCGGATGGTGGCAGCTCGCTGTAGCTTGTCATGGACCTCGACACTCATACGCCGACGTGTCTCCCGGAACTCTGCTCGCACGTTTGCTTTCCACTCTGCTGCGTGAGCCTTGATCTCTCCAACCTCAGTCAAAGACAGTTATTACAAATCAGTATGTCAGTTATCAGTGTGTTTATGCTGTGCTCAAAAATAATGCAGAATGGCAAGAATGACATTTTCAAGATAAATGAAGGAGTAGTATCTCATATTTTATCAACCTTGATGACCTACATAAATTTCATCAACAGTGACAAAAAAGTCTCATCCCAATCAGTGCTGCCACATATTATATCAAGGGTTCCCATCCAAAGAACCAGGAGATGATACATAACAGGATAGAACATTTTTTTATTTCTTCAACACAAAATAATGTATTTTTCACAGTTTTCTCTCAACTGGGCTTTTTTCCCCCAGCAAATTATCCATAAACTTTATTTTCTCAGGCCAACAAATTGTTTTAATAAATCAATCTGAGAAGTAAAACCAACTTTTGGCTGTTTACAGCTTATAATCACACTGTTTGCAGCAAGAGGCCATAGAGGTGTAAAATGAAGAAGCTACTTAGATCCCCTATAAAAAAACATATACAAGTAAAACATCCTCTAGATTGTATAAGGTATGGTAATATAAGCTGATAAGCTGTAATTTAATAGTCTGTTCATAGTGAAACTGTAGTAAACTGTAGTAGTATGTAAATATGAATAGTTTTAATCATTTATCAATCAAAATGAGTATTTGTTTGTTCACACAGTTCTGAAGCTTTCTTCTCTGCTTCTGATCCTTTTTGTTCAGAAACAGCAATGCTTTCTTAGACTCCATCTCCAGTAACACGAGATGTGTATCTGGACACTGTTTCTGAATAATTACACCCCATCATCATGCATTTATATCTGGTCTCATTAGCATTAGCATTGTCATGGGATTTAATCTCATTATGCAATTTAGGTAGGCAAGGCTGGTACTGCAAGGTGGAGGTCATCATCATCATCATCATCATCATCATCATCATCATCATCATCATCATCATCATCATCATCATCCTTATGAGAACATACCTCTTCTTTTGTCTTTTTGGACAGCACCCTCAGCCAGTCACCAATCATGTTCAGCACAGCAGCAAAGTAGGCTAGACCACCCAGGATCCAGAACCACACTAGTGGTCTGTACCACTTCCGGTACTCAATCCTGCGGTCCCCCCCTATTTAAAGAACAGGACATGAATACAGAAGAGTACATCAGTTTGCTGCTGCCAGCTGAACACTTCAAGGAATGGAGCTCAAATAACGAGATCATCTTCAGTGAACATCTTTAATGGTAAAGACGCTGACAGTGGACTCTGCTTTATTAGAGAAATAATCACAGAAGACCAATGCAGTGACACCTTCATCCAACACAGAAATTGCTCCTCTATGGAGACCTCATCAGTGAGACAGACAGAGAGAACGAGCTGGGCTGAGCTGAGCTGCTGTATGAAATAAAAACACTGTTATCTAAGTAGAAGATGATTTACACAGTTTGACTGAGAACATAGAAGTTTTGGAGGTGTAAAGCAACCCACACATAAAAAGTGAATTTACTTTCTTCTGCATGATGCTTCAATGATGATAAGTTTTTGTTTCACTTGTAATAGGAAGGCTACGGAAGAGGATTAGGGCCACATGTGAATTATTTTTTTTTAGAATTCTGACTTTTCCTTCAGAATTCTGAGACCAAAGTCAGAGTTGCAAAAAAAAAAAAGTATTTTATTTTTTTTATTCATGTGGTCCTAATCCTCATCCATAGAGGGCAATGCTGGTAACTGGTGGTGGGAAGTTTTTCCTCCCCACTGTCACCAAGTGCCGCTCATTGTGGAAAAGTTGGGTGTCTTATAATATTGTAGGTTTTGATCTTACCCTGTAAAGAGCCTTGAGATAATGTTTGTTATGATTTGGCGCTATACAAATAAAACTGAATTGAATTGAATTGGTGAAAAAGAAACACAGTTGTCAGTATGTACAGATTAGAACATGTTCAGTCTTATGAACACTGCAGCAAACCTACTCCCCCCAGCAGATGTATGTAGTCTCATGTTTCAGAGTTCTTGTTCATGGTGAACTTTTTCTTCTTTTCTTGTAGAATTAAAAAAAAAAAGGTTTTCATAAACTAAACCTAATTTACAAACTGTAATCATGACCTAAATGTATTGTGATGTATTTATTAATGAATAATAACATGTAAGAAAACAGGACAGGTCAATTCATTAAGGGGTCAGCTATGAATGACAAACTCTCACCTGCCACATAGTCACCTATTCCAACTGTTGTCAGAGTGATGACCACAAAATATGTCGACTCCAGCGCCGTCCAGCCCTCGATGTGTTTGAAGATCACAGCAGGAATGGTGACAAACAGGATGCAGCCCGCCAGGATGAAGAGGAGGGTGGACGCCACACGGATTTTAGTCTGACTGATCTGGTTGTGTTTATTCTGTGAGACAAAGTCACACGCACACACACACACACACACACACACACACACAGTATAAAGCAGTGTAAGTCATAATACCTCTCATTGTCGGGAAGCTTCTGATAGTGTTTGGATGCCACAGAGTCTGCAACACTGATGGATCAGTGTCTTTATTGTCCTATCAGCATTAGCACTGATGATAAGAAGACAATACTGTGTTCACTGTGTATACAAGAAGGAAGCTCATCACTTCAACAGGATGCAGTTTGCTTCCTTTTAGCTGTGTGTACACAGTGTGTAGACAAATAGTTGTACAGTTTTGTTTTGGTGTGCTTTTCAGCCACATTATTTCAGTTGTTCATCTCGTGACCTTTACTCTGAAGTAAGTTCAACATACCTAGGGTAACTTTTTGTTATCTGGCTTAACTGAAACTAACACTGATCGTCCTTATAACGTACTATGAAGCTGGTTATCAAATGGCTCAGTTAATGCTGGATTTACCTGTCCAGGTACCAGCCCATTCATGTGAAAGAGGAAGAGTTATAAGCAACATTGTCAGAACCATGAATAAACTATTAAAGTTTTTCTCAACTCTTAATGCAGTTCTAAAAACAGTCCATGCATTTCTCATAACACTAAATCACAGATGCAAAAGCCTCTAAAACAATAATAACCTTGTTGACGTGTCGAACATGCAAGGTCAGTCAATCACTTCAGCATTGTCACCAATGAATTAAACTTTTCACCAGAGCTTCAAGACTTTGATCAAAATATCAAAACATTTGGTGTCTAAGTCAGAACTACAGGAAATATAGATAAAAGTGTTCAGACGCAACAAATGTACTACAGTTACAATAGTAACATTTTAGAAAAATAACTATATTCTGTCTCAATATTGCATGGTGTTTATTGTACTGTGTATTTGTCAAACCCTCTCATCAGATTACTATAGCTACTGGAAAAAAATAAAATATAAATAATGTTAAATGTTTTAAATCAAATGAACTTTACAAACATTAAAAAGGTTGACAAACACCTTTCATTGTTTTTTTTCTGGTATTAAAGGTATAACGTGTAAGATCATGCTACTTGCCCCACATCCATTGGGGGCAGCATTTCACCTCTGCACCCCCGTCCTGTTAATCATGTTGGTGTTTTCCCCATGTTCCTTATACTTTATTATTTATATGTGCATTTATTGTTGATATTGTTCAAATTGTTGATAGCACTGAAACAAATTATGAATACTTGTAATACAAACAGTATGTTTTTATTTACCTATAAATGAAGACAAGGGGATACTGCATGACACATGTAGGCTATAGCTGCAACTCTCTCCACACCTCCTTTACAGCAGAGGAGGTGAGGGTGGAGCTCAAGAAGGTACGTCTTGGAAAAGCAACAAGCCCTGATGGTGTGTGTCTGAGGCTGTTAAAGGACTGTGCAGCCCAGCTGGCTTGTAGGTTACCTGACAGGAGCCCCATTACCATTACCGGGCAGGAAGAGGAGTACAGGGATCTGACGATGGCATTCAGTGAATGGAGCGTCAAGAACACCTCCAAGACCAAGGAGATGGTCATTGACTTTCGGAGGTCTAGGCCCACCCTTCAGCCAATCAAGACAAGAAGAAAGGACTTAAAGGACTAAATACCTAGGTGTGCACCTGGACAGTAAACTGGACTGGTCCCTGAACATGGATGCCATCTACTTGATGGAGAGCCAGCTCTTTTTCCTCAGTAGGCTCAGGTCCTTTGACGTCTGCAGTGGAATGTTGCACAGGTTTATCAGTCAGTGGTGGCCAGTGTACTTTTTTATGCTGCAGTCTGCTAGGGCAGCATCATGTCAGACATGAACACAAGGAGACTGGACAAGCTGGTCAAAAAGGCTGGGTCTGTTCTTGGCAAAAGTCTGGACTCACCCAGGACTGTTGTTGAGAGATGCATGCAATGTAAGATGGAGGCCATCTTAGACAATACCAACCACCCACTCCACAACATTCTGGCAGGACAAAGAAGCAGTTGCAGCTGCAGCAAACGTTTCATCTCACTGCAATGCATAACTGCAATGTAATAGCAACGAAGGCATACATTATTATTTTGCATACTTATTGGTGTGAATGCTGAGGTATTCACACTATTGTTATCGAACTCTTTATTATGTGCCTGCAATGCAATAGCATTGAAGACATATATTATTATTATATGCCTTCAATGCGATAACATTGGAAGCATACTGTATATTAGTATTCTGCATACTTAGAGATTTGGATAACAATAGTGTGAATGCTGACTCAGCATTCACACTATTGTTATCCAAATCTTTATTAGATAGATAGATATATAGATAGATAGATAGATAGATAGATAGATAGATAGATAGATAGATAGATAGATACTTTATTTATCCCCTAGGGGAAATTCATATGTAATATTATTGTTGATAATAATGATAATAATAAAAACAGTTAATAATAAATAAACAATAATAATTCTAGACCTCCGAAAGTTGATGACCATCTCCTTGGTCTTGGAGGTGTTCAGAAGGAGGCAATTCTTGTCGCTCTATTCACTGAAGGCCATTGTCAGATGCCTGTACTCCTCTTCCTGCCCATTCCTGATATGCACCACAATAGCTGTGTCATCCAAGTATTTCTGGATGTGGCAAGACTCAGAGTTGTATTTAAAGTCCGACTATACAGGGTGAACAGGAATGGAGCCAGAACAGTCCCCTGTGGAGCACCAGTGCAATAATGTAATGCTGAGGTATTCACACTATTGTGAATACGGGTGCTCAGCTCCGAGGCACTCCTCTACAGCTAGAATAGCTGAGAGGAGTGCCTTCGGGCTTATTATTATTCTTCCGCCAAATTTTGGCGTGTAATTCGTCCCGCAGCTTTGAGAAAACCCGAGTAATATATACATCAAAACGTGCGTCTTGATCCCGAAAGAGGTACTATGACTTTTGGTGCTAAAATTCCAATTTTTCCCAAAGTTATTCCCAAAATACTGGGAATAAATAATGCATTAGGAATGCACTGGAATTTTCTTTAAAAAACCACAAAATTTCACCTTTTTTCTACAAAATTTCACCTTTTTTCCGAGTCACCCAGCTCTCTCATACCTGCACGTAGAAATGTGATTCAAACTATAAAACGGAGGAAAACTTCTGCTCTCTCCAAAACACAGCAACTGTTTTTACATAACATGTAAACTTTTCAAACTATGAGCACTCAAAGGAGGAGTGGAAATCACTTTTTCTTCAAAGTTAGAGTGACAGCGTCAGTTGGCTAGAGTGCGTGAAGCAGTAAAAAATAACCTTTATTTTTATTTTTAACTCGAGCTCACGGCCAAACCGTAAAAAGGAGACAAATAATTCTTTCTGAAAATGTAGACATAGTTGTTGGGATTCATAAAATGTAACTTTGACAGGCAGGGTCTGCACAAAATTTTGACACCTAATGTAATCGTCTTTTTTTTTCAAAAGAATCTCACTCTGTCTTCGCACTGAGCTTACTCACTCATTTTAAGGAATATCTGAATAAAATAGAGACTGTAAGAAACTTCTGGCTTCAGTGCCTGTCACGGTGTTTTCNTGGGGACTAGGCTGATTGAATACTCTAAATTGACCATAGGTGTGACTGTGAGAGTGAATGGTTGTCTGTCTCTGTGTGTTTGCCCTGCGATGGACTGGCGACCTGTCCAGGGTGTACCCCGCCTCTCGCCCGAAAGGATGCTGGGATAGGCTCCAGCCCCCCCGCGACCCTACTAGAGGATAAGCGGTAGAAAATGAATGAATGAATGAATGATCATTTTGGCTGTGTTACAGCTGAAGGTATGGATTTCTGAAAGAAAGTGTCTTTTTTGACATATTTTTAAAATCTAATGTCAGTTACTGTTACAGGTCTATTATACACTGGTAACACATTTTGTACCCTCTGGGGTTCCTCGCGTCCAAAAAAGGACACACAAAGAAAATGCTATAAAATCATCATATATCAATATTTTTTTCTGCTTTTTTTTGCATACATCTCTTAAACCACTTCAGTTCTGCTCAAACCTACCAAATGTTTATTAGTTTTCAGGATTTTAACCCTTTAAATGCCGGTTTGAAGACATGTTGCCTCTTGTTTTATTAAAAAAAACAACACAGAATATGAGATATTTCCCATATAATACATGATGGAGGGATGTGACATTGTTTTATATCAGAGTCTTTTATATCAAGACATTTCTCAAAACCAGAATATGATCAGGGTGGCTTTTGAACACTGGAAATAAATCATGTACTCATCCCGGCAGTAGTCCCCGTGGCACTCAAAATTTCCCTGGAATTTTCTAGTTATTATTATTCTTGTGCCTTTTTATGGTCTCTAACTACTCCATCATACTTTGTCCTACAAAACCAACTATCAAAACGTTACACTGTTTCTGTAGATTATCGGCTCAAATCAACTTTTTAATATTATTTATTAATTCTTGAAATATTAAGCTTTTTCAGTTTTTTTTGCCATTTAAATGAATGGAGACCATGTTCAAATCCTTGAAAACTTCAGCCTCTTTGAACTTTAACTACTTCAGCATACTTTCAGTTACAGACTTCATTCAAACTTTAAACTGTTCACAAGACTTTCACCTATTTAACTATTATTCAACTTTTTGATACCTCTATCTCACAGTTTTAGTTTTAAGCTTTTTTCTGATCATTTTTGAGTTTATAATGGGTGTGTATTGCATGGAATGTTCACGGCTTGAGTGGATGACATCATAGCTAGAGTGGGAGAAGCGCTAAAATTTTGTCTTTAAAAAATCTGTTTAACTCGTCCTTACTGCCACATATTTTTTGAAATGTGACCCTCCAAGTGATGCAAGCACCCTTCAACTCTCCCATAGACTGCAATACAAATTCAGGAGCTGAATTCAGGAGAAAACCAGAACTGACCTTTTTTTTGTAACTCACTCCTATTTCCACATTTGTGGCTCTAGAAACACCAAAACCACAGAGGTTTTCAGGAGAGTCTTGT